ATGTTATATGCATCTCAATTTAATAAAGCTACAATCTTTCGTCGAACAGTTTTTCTGTGCGGTCCAATATATCCAGGAATAGCTGTTTCGAGAAATTGGCACATTCCTGGCTGTCGAAATACACCAAATGAAAGTCCATCACGTACAATAAAATTAATAGCAGCCATGTGCAATTCTCACACACGTTCAGGTAATATTACTGGACCTTGATAAATTTCATCTTTATTCAATTGAGATGCATATAACATGTTTGGTATTTGGTGAGTTGAACTTCCAAGATGCTTGCACAAATTGGAATCACTTCGTTTGTCACATTGATAGATCTATTTAAAAGAAAATATTAAATTATCAATCATTTCAAAACTCATTATTTTCGAATTAGATCTCATGCCAATTATCTTTTCTCTTTCAAAAAAGGTAGCTCAAATATATATATAATACATTTCATAGCATTTGCTTTATTTCCGGCATTATAAAACCGCTGAAGGAATCTAATTTATGAAGTTGGCAAAAAAATATACAGTGATCAATTGAAATCCTTCAAATTGAAAAGAAAGCTCTATTTTATAAACTATTGATTTATGAACATTGACGATCAATCTGAAATCTATTTGATCTTTAAACATAAGGAAAAAGTACCATACCCTGATTCCAGTGTTATGATGACTGACGCCATTCACTGTTTTTCAATCATGATTTTAAGATTTTACCTTCCCCAAAGAATGAACTGATAGAGTTTAAGTATTTATATTTTGAAGGACATATTAACGTTGTACCTATTATCATGAAACATTCTTTTACATAAAGCTCTATACAGATTTTTTATATTTCAGCTGACCTATATACATACATATATGCTTGTTGTATTGGGATTACATCGGTCGTTGAGACCTATTATTCATGTTATCGATTCGGAAAAAGTCCTGGGACTGTTATTACTTTATTTATCAATAGATAATTCATCAATTTGAATGTTCTGTTGACGACTTTATGGTCAAATATTTTTTTTGACAATACATACCAAACATTGGACACCAGAAATTAGGGTGTGGGGTGGGTGTGGCTGGGTCTGGATGATTCCTCTATAACTATACAACCACACCCCACACCCCACACTCACACCCTATCATCAGATGCAGCGCGAAAAGCTCTACAATTTACATAACACCATTTATTTTATAGCTGCACTTTTTATTTGAAAAACGAACAAAATATTGAGCAATCAAATTTCAACCATGGGAAAAAGGTAATGTTTTCAATAAAATGAATTCATTCTTTTTTATTTCATTGTTTCATCATCTGATATGCTTTATCAAACGAAAAACAGAATATACTATAAGATGCAGC